GGAAGTAAATGTGACCAAAGTTTCTAAAGAGGCAATAATTCCAAAGAATCGTGTTGGGATCATTAGTACCGAGGAATCAATGTATTCTCTTACTCTTTCCCCAACATTCTTGAATGGTTCGACGGAAAATGATAAAGCGATTTCTTCTTCAACATCCGTTACTAGGCGTCCATTTTTGTATGATAATTTTGTCAAGAGCTTGACTGGATCATTAGACATGAATAAGTAAGAATATTGTAATATTGTACACTTTTAAAATATCGGGTCTATAATTCTTTTTAATTGTGTTAGAATAAATAAGAAATCTACAAAACGGAAGATATCCAATAGAAATAATGACTCAAATGAGGGCAATAGGCATCAGATTGAAGACTTACAAGGCATAATTAATATAAAGCCTAACACCAAACGGAAAAGTAAAAAATCGAAAAACAAGCAAAACACTAGAACATTTAAAGATTTGATCCAAACAACCGAACAAAAACCAAATACCGTATGTTACCAATTAGAAGCAACCACCGAATAAATCAACCCCCAGATTTTGGAGCCAAAAATTTGACTAAGGTTGTTTTGTTTTACTAATAAAATTGGACTCGAATAGAAGCAACTCCTTCATTTTGGTCGGTAACATACGACATAGATCATTTGACATTACACAATCCGATTGTTGGCTAATAAAAACAAGTTAACGCTCTACGTAAAAAGCTCGTTCATGATTGTGAAACACAATTTTACCAAATTTTGAATTTTTGACCCTGTTTGATTGTTGATGTAATGCCATTTATAGTAAAAAAAATGGTTAAAAAAGGTTAACACTTGGAAATGGGATTAAAAAATAGTCGGTTCTGTAGATAAAATAAAATAATAATTGTGAAGTTATCCATTGTTTAATACACCGAATGAATTATATAATGTGAACATCTTAGTCAGATGAATAGGTTCCATCCTAGTATCGTAATAGACAAGTTCAGTTATTTTATAAACTTAACATCTAATCTACTAATCTATTTTGGATAATTTGATTACGTATCAACATAATGTTGGTAATTAAATTATCCAAAAAGGACTAGTAGATCAGGCGTTATTCACTGTTAAAGATTGTCTATCGCTATGAAATGACTAAGATAAACTTTTTATAAAATAATTTTCCTGTAAATTAATTGTCAAATGTCTGTGAAATGATTTTCTATAAAATGATACTCGATCGTCTGATTTAATCGAATTACATCATTTTTAATGTTTTTAATATTATCGATGCTAGAGAATGAAACCTTTATAGAAAACGCATATAGAATGGAATAAATGTAATATTTGCTACAATTTAGCAGACCCGAACCTATTATACATTCTACTATCTATAAACCCTCACCTCTATACATATATTAAACACCCAAGTATGAAGATGCTACCCTGATTTATGTAACCTAAAATAATTTTCAAATAACTTGTTAAAATAGATTGAACTATATATATAGTAATAAGTTTGGTTAGTAGCAAAAATCATACTCGAAACAAGTAATTGCTTTCAAGCAGTCTTTAAAGCAAATCAGTTTTATAATTAAGTTTCTAAGTATTAAAATGATAATATAAACTTTACATCGAGCTATATACTGTAAATTACTAAGTTTCATTAGTTAATACATTCTTAATAAGTTTAATTAGTCATATATCAAAAAGTAATCAAGTAATAATAAGCAAATCTCATTAAAAAGTACTTTAAAGCATATAAGTTAATTATTTGAACAATTGATTTACACCAGCCAATTAGATATAAATCACAAGTTGACAAGATTTTATATATAATATACCTAGAGTTTTTTTTTTTTTACCTTCTTCCACATCTCGAAGGTTCTTAGACATCTTCAGATCTCTCACATTTCTCAAAAGCCAGAGTTTTTGTATTTGCGAAAATCACCAGTATGGCGAATTGGCCATCTATATATTATCGTACTGGTAAGATAACTCATGCTCCGTTAAGTATATTATATGACATCCTGGATTTCTGGTGCCACAGTGTAGGATCTATGTTCTCTAGATCCGCAGTTTCCTAACTTCACATGACCCACAAGCTGGATCGTCCTTTTATATATCCTTAAGCTAGGTTTTTCTTAATTTTAGTGTCGTTTGTTGACGAATTATGCCTTATCTGATCATCTCTGACCATTGTGCTATGCCGGCAGACTGCAACTTGTACAAGTCTTGTTCTTTATTTTTTAATAAAAAATCATCCAAAGATCTTAGCCAATCGTGGTCCTGGCAAAGCCATTCATCATTTAGTGAAACTCGAACTCACAATCTTGCAATTGTAACCTGAGAGTACTAACCACTACACTATCAACCTACATGTTCTATCTAGAGTATTTAGAATTATATAGCAAAAATAAGCAAACTATCACTGATTGACAATTTTTTTAAAGTCATAAAACGATATATTAAAGTTAGACTTATAATAATAACAAGGCTTATTTTATACTAAAATTTTACAAAGAAATTTTTTTATTAATATGCAGATAGTTATATAGACAAAATTTTGAGTTAAGGTGGTTTTTTTTAAAAAAGTTTTTTTTGTTTTGATTTCACATTACACCTGATCTTGTAATCTAATTGGTCAATCACTGTTGATTAGTAAAAATCTGTTGATACTACTGGGTTAGTTGCTAAAGCTAGGTGTATTTTTATGTTTTTGAATATTAATTAAAATTAGAATAAGGGTTAGTTAGAGTAGAAATTGAAATTATTTAACTATTTAAAAATTACATCATAGTTTTAAACAGAATTATGTTAAGCATAAGCTAAAATTATTTTAATGCCAGCCAAATTAAATAATTAAACAGTTAAATGATTAAATAATTAAAAAAATTTTTAGATAGTTTCAATTTCTAGATTAGAGATTAAAATTAAAGCAAAGCTTATAAGTAAAATAGCCTTTTTGCCATTTTTTTATTAAGAGCAATGTTATTTATTATACAGTAGTAGATTAAAATAAAATCAGATTAAAATAAAATGAAGAATAATGTAAAATAGACAATCACCGAAAAATACAAATTTTTGATGCATTTTTTTTAGTATTTTTTTTAGGGTTAGAATTAGAATTTAGAAGCAGATTTTATAATAAACAAGTATAAGTAGGTTTTAGAATATCAAATAGAAATCTTTCATTTAATTTTAATCTGATTTCATTATAATCTGCAATATTTATTACCTGATTTTTTTTTTATCAAAAGCTTACTCCTCTCCTTTTATTATATATATATATATTTTTTTTATTAACCTTCACAATGTTATATGAAGGCAAATTTTTATTAGATATTTTAAATAGTATATTTTTGATTAATAAAAGTATATTTAGCCACACATATAACTTTGATCATCTATTTAAGTAGCTTACCTGAAGATTCTATACTACAGTATATACTATACCTGTAACCTAATTAGAAGATTATTCATTTAAACTCTTTAATATCTTTGTCTTGTACTATCTATCACAATCATATCAGCATATAACTTCATACTGAAGACCATTCAAATCAATATCTTGTACTCTAATTCTATATATAACCTAGTAAGATTCTTATATTATCAAGTTATTCTAGAGAGAGTATAGTATATACATCTCTAATCTTTCTATATTCTATATATTTTTAGATTAGGCTTTGAATCCCTTCTGCAATAGCCAAAACTACTACTAGCAGTTAAGATGAACTATTAAACTACACAATTCTGACATTCATATTCTTACAAGATTCATTCTGATTTTAATACCTATATTAACTAGTTCCTTAATTGATTCTTCCCAACCTACCAAACTAGTTAACTCAGATAGATTGTTGTACCTCAGCTTTAAGTGCTTTTTAGTTTTATTTCTTTTAGTTCTTAATTCTGTAATATAAGACCTTTTCCTCCAATATGACTTTAAGGAACATTTTTTGCTCCAGAGTATGCATCTAGTTTTTTAGTTTTAGATTCTGGCATCCACAATATCATCAAAGATTTCATTACTTCCTTGCTCAGATATTGTCAAATGAGTTTCAATTATTCTGATTCCTTGAATTTGTATCATTTAAGAGCTTCCATTTCAAGATAGTAGTACCAAGATTATAGATGATATACTTAACTGATTGTTAAATAAATGTTATTAGTATATAGGCCTATTTTTTTAAAAATGCCTTTAGTAGGATATTTGCCACTTGGAAGTGACAACTTAACCACTTCTCTAAGTTGTTACATCCCTTATTATATATTTTGATCAGATCTTTATATATAATTTTAAATTTTTTTATCCTGCTTTGCTCTTTAAAAAATCATCTAATTAAAGAGTGTGATGACTTAGTGAAGTTGATAAGTTGTCACATATTTAAGCAGCAAAACAAGAGTTCGAATCCTACTAGTAACGAAATTCGAATTTTACAGAATATATTACAGCAAACTGTGTGTAATCTGATAAATCAGCATCTATAATCTTGATCATATTAGCTTGTACTGGAAGGATGCAAAACAGTAGTATAATGCAAGAGTTACACAAAATCTAAGTAATATATTCAGATAAATCTAGAAGATTGAAACATACAAAAGTTCACTTGGCAAATCTTAAATAAGAAGATAACACAAATCTTTAACAGTATTATATAAAGAATGATTATCAGCAATTAGATTTAATAGCAAAACTGAATGAGAACCAGGTGTTCAGCAAGTCACCACATCAACCAGGCTATGTATATATAGAGAAAAGAATTTATCAGAATACTAGGAGATGCAAGTTCCTTCTGTGCCATCTGGATTAGGAGTTTGGAAATGCTGTTGGTGTGCTAAGAAAGTTAGTGATAGTCTATAAAGTGGATACTGAGGTTTGGGTAAACTTCATAAAGGCAAAAGTAAATAACAGTAGCAGCTTTAGCTCACAAATACTTGTTCTTGAACTCAGTATAAGTTACTAAAGTCTAGGTTAGCCAAATTGTAGGTATTGAAAGCTTTAGCAATGATGCTTCGAAATAAATTAGTTTTAAAGCTATAGCATGCATCTAAGACTTCTCAACTAACAAATGTAACTGAGATGTCTTAGTGATACAAGAAGGATATGTATATTACAGAGGGTTTAAATAGGTAATACTCTAGTTAGGTTATAGTTATAGTAGTTAGTGTAGAATCTATGATGTATATTATATACAGACTACTTAAATAGGCAATCAAAAGTTGCATGTGTGATTAGTTATACTCTCTGA